CCTTGGTGAAAAATAAAAAAAATAAGTTATTTTTTTTTAATTTTCTCCTTGGGTTTCTGATTGGAGCCAAAATGATCAAAATCAGCCTTCTGAACTTGAGAGAGATGTCTATACCTGACACCATTCCAAAGTGAGGGCATTAAAGTGAAAGTGATGGTGAGGGAGTCAAAGGGGAGGGTTCTGGTGAGGTGCCATGAAATCTTACCTAGTGTGGGAAGATGTGAGGACACTTTGTGGGGGCCAGGTGGAAAGGTATGACAGAAGGTGGGAGTGAGAGTTCACTCCAGGAAGGATCCTTCAACAAGATACTGTCAAATTTTCTCAACAAAAGGCAAGCTGTTTAGGAATAGAGAAAACCTGATGATTGGGCCTCCCCCAGTGGAGCGGCAGTTGAGCGCTGGGCTGCGAAGCTGCCTGCAGCCTCTGCAGGTGAGGGTCCCACATGGCACACAGACCTCTCCTGTAGTATCTGCTGCTCCCCTCAGCAGTGTATTTTGGTGGTCTGCCTGTTCTGTTCCCCACTCTGGCTCTGGTGAATTCTCTTACCCTCCCGCGCTTCTGACTGTACCCAGTGTTTATATAAATAAATAAATAAATCTTAAAAAAAAAAAAAGAAAACCTGATGATACTTTATATCAACCCTTTAAACTATTTTCTTTTGAAAACAAAACAAAATTTTCTCAAAAATCCTTTTTTTGGCAGCCATAATCATATCTCTTTAGATGTAGTCAAGGCTACTGCGCCTATGTTTTGCGCCCAGGCTTCAGAGCTAGGGCCAGGCATGTCTCAACCCAGCCTTCATGCTTAATCATCGGCCAAGCAGGAAAGCATCTTTCTCTGTCTCTTTTCAAGGTAACTTCTGTGTCTAGATGTAGGTGTGGGAGTGAAAGTCTTCATTTTCCTGCCTAGTTTTGTCCTTGACATATGAAACAGTGGTAGGAAAAATATGAGGGGATATCAAATGGGGTGAGTCAATAGGAACAGGTATTGTCATAATATGATGACAGAAACAGTTGTCTCCTGAGAAATGCTGCTAGGCATGGGTGTCTTAGTGGGTCTCCAAGTCTCCAGGTCACTTGCATTGTTTTTCACGATGAAATCAGAAATTAGTAATTCTTGTAATAAATGAATGTGTCCTGTCTTCCTTCTTAAAAAAAATCATTCAAAAAACTCCTTAATATCATATTTCCCCCAAGCAACTTAAAACTTGGATTGTTCACGCTGCTTTGTCAATAAACTCAGAACTGCCTTTAGTCTCTGTCTCCAGTGCCTCCTTCTCTCTTAAATCCACTTCATCACACTGTCATTCTCAGCCCTGTGATTAAAACAGTTCTTGTCATTGACAACATGACCTTCATTCTCTTGCTGGGGTCCTCATCTCCCTTGCCAGTCATCACTTCCGCCCAATTGAAGCACTTTCTTCATTTAGCTTCCAAGACACTTCCTTTTGCTGATTTCCTTTCTATCTTGCCAGTTACTCTGTCTTCACTTCCTTTTCCTCCTTGACATGTAAAGGTAGAGCAGCGCTTATTCTGCCACTTGCTCCTCAAACTTGACCTCATCTCATTGTTCCCGCATTGGAAGCTTGGCAGGTCTTAGCTAGTGGTGTTGCATTTCCTCTGAGGTTACACTGCTCACACTTAGCTTTGCTAAGCTGTTAAGCTATTAGCCTGTTCCTGATTTTTCACCTTTCCTCTTCAACCACCCATAGAACAACACCATCTATAGCATCTTACTGTCTTTTGTCTCTTGTCCTGTTTGATTTCAGGTACATTGTTTTCTTAACAAGATTCAATCTTTCAGTTAGAGGTCCCTTTCAGTTAGAGGTATAAGGTGGTGAGTCCTTGGTCTGCCTAAAGCTACTACCTGTTCAGACTCATCGTCCTACCTCCTGTCTCTACATTTAATCTCCCCAGGACCAGCCTGCTGTGCCTCTGTGCTTTGTCTTAGTATGTTCCATCCTTCTGTACTCCCTAAGAACGCTCCTTCCAGGTCCATGCTGTTGTCATATCCTCACTGCCACTGACTGTCCTTTTAATGTTTTCCTGCTGGTCTTTCAGGGCCATCTTATATCTCTGGCACTGTGCTACCATAGTCTTTCAGGCATGGGTCTCCTCGAAGCACATGGAATAGACTCTAGTTTGAGTGATGGAGGAGACTGGTGGTGAGTGAGTTCTGTCGCCCTCTCTTCCTCTGTTCAGTTCCTTTGAATCCGGTCATTGGGCTTGTCCTGTAAAACCCAGCTGCTGCTGGCCCAGGTGGGAGTGTGTTATCAGTGCTCTGTGCTGATAACAGATCAGATACAGATCAGATATCTGCTGAATACAGATCCCTGGGTTTGTATTTAAGTCACAATGGAAGGTGTGAGACTGTTTTTTTTTTTTTTTTATAAAATCGGGGAGTTAATGATAGACTGTTCCTTTCTAAAGAGTCTGTTGGCTTTTTTTGTGAGAGAGTATCTGGAAATGGACTCAGAAAATTCCTTTGAAGGATTGTGCTGTAGGCAGTTGGCAGGGTTCGTAGAAGCATATTATCAGCTTTCAGAGGCTCACATACCTTTTAGGGAGTTTCAGGCCAACCTGTCCTCTTCCTTGACTTAAACCCCAGGTGGGACTATACTGGGCTGTCCAAGAGACTATGACTTCCCACCTCGTTAGTTTTCATCCAATATTGATGACTCTGAGTTTTAGGTCACTAATTTCCCCAGCTAGAGCTTGAAGGACTCTAAAAATAAGATAGAAAGTCAGCTCTCTCTGCTCTTCTGAGCTCTCCTTGAGATAGGAGTGATCACTCTGTGGAGGAAGTTCTAGGTCAATATTTATAAAATGCTTAGAACAGTATCTGGCATTTAGTAGTTATTGCTCTATTAGTGTTTATGAAAATAAATTAAAAATAAATAAATGATGAGCTGCCAAGGGCCATGATGTTGAGTCTAAAGCTCTTTTCCTTCCTGTCCGTGGAGGATATTGTAAGCTCCTCACTTAACCACTCAAGGCACTTGATAGGAGACGTGTTCTACGAGCTAGCAGTCTTGCAGGCTGTTGATGGGGGGTAAAGGTGAAAGATTTCTTATATTTGGGCACAGGGCAAACATGAATGATTTCTCTTACCTTGGCATTTTCTATTCCTTACATAAATGAATCAAATATAGATTAAAAATGAGATTAAAATAATTTATTAAAATACAAATTAGCATAGGATAATTGCAATGACACAACATAATGATAACTGTTATTCTATAGATAACATTTAATTCTTAGATTGAAAATTATTAAAAATAAAGGTTTAAGAAATTAAAATTTCAAATAAAATTCCAGTTTATTAAATGATACCTTGATGATCACTGATGTTAAATATAAAAATATATGATCAATAATCAATATGTCACTCAAAATTAAGCTAGTAAAATAGTGAAGTGATTCTTTTGCGTGAACTAACCACTAAAGATCAAACTGTGCATTTCTATGGAATAGAGAGCCAATATAGTTCTATGCAGACTGAGGTTTACATTATACAGCAAAACTTGCTAGACTGAGGGAATTCAGGCTAAGAGGCTCATTTTGAGTCTTCTCTGAAAGGCTCTGGTGAAAAAACAAAATTGCTCTTATTATATTTTGCTCTTCATTAGGTGGAAAACATGTCTAACAGACACAGCAATGAAATATTGTTTTCCTCTGACTTAAGATACTACTTATTCCGTGTGGTATTTGGAGGGCTGGCTGGGAACTGAGGGCAACTAGAGTCAACTACAGTGTCATCCGGGTTGCAGTAGCCTCCTGGAAGCAATGATTACTAACCATTTTAGTTCCTCCCCTTGTACTCCCAGCTTGTTCTTGATAGGTTTCAATGGCATTTCAAGTGTGTTTAGGAGAAATTTAGAAACTTTTTGAAATCTTTGGAGTCCAGAGGAACGGAGAAGGAACCATATTGTTCATTATTGTTTTTGTTAGGATCCAAAGTTTAATGTGAGCAGATTGAAAATGGAAAAGAGAAACAAAACAGGGGAGGGAAGAACACAAGGAATTATGGTGATGGGTTAGGGATGATATGGTGGCGGGAGAACTTTGGGGACTACACCAGAGGGGAGAAGCCAATTATTGTACAAAATGAACAACAATGTTAAGGAAATAAAATAAAATTTTAAAAAATGGAAATGAGAAAACTAAAACAGAGCTGTCTGGAACTGAAACAAGTAAAGGGCTTTAAGAAAGAGCCCAGAGCTGTGTCAGAGAGCAGGTTTTTATTTATAGACCAAATGAGTTACTATGAGTTACTATTCTCCCCTCTGGTGACCCCATTCTTTTAGCAGAACTTGAGAGTTTTGTTTTGTTTTGTTTTGATTGTTTGTTTGATTTGTGTCTTTACCTCTCACATAGGAGTGAAATGTGTTCATATTCATATCTTTAGACATGAAACTAAAACAAAGAGAAGAATTATACCATTTTGCCAGCAGGTGGCACCATAAGAATCTCCTAGAAGAAAAGGGAGGAACTGAAATCACAGCCTTAGTACTTTTCCTTTCAGGAAAAGTCTTGTCATCAATGTCGATTCATATTTTTGATGACATTAGCAACAGATGTGTGTTGCTTAAAATGTCTGCAAAAGAGTCATCCTTCCGCTCATTTTTCATATACTAGCATTTCTTATTCAATGAAAGATTATATTCCTGTAAAAGGAAAAAAAAAAAAAAAAAAAAAACACCCCGAGGGTTTAAAATAAAATTACTATATTTACTTGAGGAACACATTTCTTTAATGATCACACTGTAAGCTAATTTTTATTTTTATCTTACTATGTTTTACTTTAAAAAATCTCATTTTTTTTTTAAAGGTATTCGTATTTTTATTTATTTATTTATTTTTTTGTGGGACCCTCGCCGGTGGCTGGGGATCAAACTGGTGCTGCAGAGGCTGCGGGCAGTCTCGCAACCCAGCACTCAACCGCTGCGCCACTAGGGGAGGCCCAAAAATCTCATTTTTTAATTAATATTTCATCTTTACTTTTTTTACTGTCATTATGATACATGTTATTGTGAGACTATTAGACAGTAGACAGGAAGTCGCTTAGGTGGTCACCCCATTCTCATGCTCCTTTGCTGCTCTGGGCTCAAAGGGTTCCTCATGCCCGAATATTTCTCGGATGCTGAGCAATCTCTCAGACTCAGGGGGAACCCTGTGGCGAAGGTAGTGGGCATTTCTGACCCTCATGAACAACTCTAAGTAGGATGGCTCTGTGGACTGGCCTTTGTGATTTCCTGCACATTCCATGGGACTTGGAGGGATTTGTTTCCCAGCATGGAGATCTGCCTGTAGGTTGGCCTCCTCTGACCTGGTCCCATTGACATAGGATGAGGTGCTCTCAGTGGCAGGGCTGGAGGTGGGGCCTGGGTCTGAGGTATCAGTGGGAACTTCTTGATCTCGATGTAGAGTAGACATGTTGTTGTTGGACTCTTTGCCTTTGGGTGGAACTATAGACTCTTCCTCTTGGACTTGTGGCTTCTCTTCTATGAGGTGGGAAGTTCTATGATTTTGAGGTAATGACTGCTCTTTGCCTTTCATGCGAACCTTGAGGCCAGTGTGATGGGCCCGAGGAATCGGGGGCTTAGCTTTATTTGTTTCTTGGGTCTCAATGATCGCTGATGCTCTGTGAAAAGGCGTTAAAAAAAATCTCTGAAAACCAGTAAAGAGGCTTTTATTTTGATCTTTCTAGATATTAGACCACAGTCCCCTTCAGTGTAGTATCAGCTGAGGTGATAATGTGGGTGAGAAATGGGTGGAGGCGGGAATGGTGGTAAAATGTGGGGAAATGTCTCTGCTTAAAAAGGAGAAGCATGGGGCCTCCCCGGTGGCGCAGCGGTTGAGCGCTGGGTTGCGAAGCTGCGCGCGGCCTCTGCGGCGCCGGTTCGATCCCCGGCTGCTCCCCGGCCACCGGAGGAGGGTCCCACATGGCGCGCAGACCTCTCCTGCCGCCCGCTGCTCCCCTCAGCAGTGTACTTCGGTCCTTCTGCCTGCTCTGCTCCCCGCTCTGGCTCTCGTGAATTCTCTCGCCCTCCCGCGCTTCTGACTGTACCCAGTGCATGTATAAACAAAACAAACAAAGAAACCAGCAAACAAATAAATAAAGCATGCCTCTATATAAAAAAAAAAAAAAAAAAAAAAAAGGAGAAGCATGAAGGCAGCATTTTCTCAGGGAGAGGATGATGTAAAGAGAGCAAAGGGGCCCACTGTGTGGTCATGGATGGGTACTGTATTATTGGTGGTGAATATAATGGAGTATATATGGATGTTGAATTATAAGACTGCACAACCAAGACCTACATAATGTTCCTAGCCAGCATTTGTTCTATTTTAAAAAAGAAATAAAAAAAGATCAGTTGGTGAGAGGGATTGAGCGTCATACCCATGCGTTTGGTAAGCATTTTCTTACCTGATAGTATTGGCCTGTGGAACTCTGTTCTTTTGCCTTCCCTGTGGTGAGGATGCAGGAACATCTTCTTGTCTTTTCTGAATTCCATTCCCAAAGTAGGAGGAGAACTTTTTCTTCATTATAGCTGCTTTGAGTTAATTAATAAGTGTTAAGGGTTAAAGTGTGGTCTTCCTAGATGTTCTATGTTGGAGTTCTCAACCCCAGTTACTCAGAATGTGGTCTTATTTGGAGATAGGGCCTTTATGGAGATAGCCTAGTAAAGATGAGGTCGTTAGTGTGAGTGCTAATCCCACACGCTGGTGACTTTATAACAAACAGAAATGCAGACATGAAGATAAGGAAGGCAGCATGAAGAGAGACTGGGAGAGGATGACCATGGATAAGACAAGGAGAGGCCCAGGACAGATCCTTCCCTCACAACTCTCAGAAGGATCTAAGCCTGCAAAGGCCTTGATTTTAGACTTCTAGTCTCCAGAACTATGGGACAATAAAGTTCTGTTGTTTAAGCTCCCAGTATGTGTCCTGTGCTATGACAGCTCAAACACTCTGACACCTTAGGAGAAGAAGGATAAGACTTCTGGAAAACAGGCTTCCAGAGAGCCACTGTGTAAGGCCCCCCAGACTGCATGGCATGTGAGGCTGATCTGGTGTGATGGATGGAAACAGAAAAATCTCAAGCAGCCCCGCAGGGTTTACCTAGAACATGTTACTGAGGATTTAGAAATACTGAGACTGGTTGATGATGACTAGCTAGGCCCATTGGAGGTTTTATTTGAATGTTTTACTTGGCAAGCATGGTGTTTTGAAAACAATATCACTGGGTGAGAACAATTGGGGGGGGGCTATTGTTTTGTTCATCTCAATTATGTGACCTCTTACCTGCTTGAGGCATGTCTGTAACTGCAGGCCATAATTAAGTGGAATTTTTCTCTGAGTTGGTATCTCAGCATCCTGTAGTCATAGTTGCTGCTGAGACCCTAGACCTCAAGACAGGGTGGTCACCCCCTCCCTGACTCTCTGGCAACCTGCAGTCTCCTCCCCTAGGCTTCTGTCTACCTACCACCTCTTGTGTAAGAACTTACCTGAGGCCCTTTGATAGACACAGGAACTCCTGCCATGCTCTGTAAATAAATTCACTTTACCAACTAGCATTTTCTATCACAAATTTTCACAAGCATGTTAAATGTGAGTGTTGGGAGGGTGGAGACCTGTTTTTTCAAATTTTTTGCATTGCAGTGTCGCTGAGTAACTGTGATGGTTTCATACAGTCTGGCCCACAAAATGCCTGTGCCAGCGTAATCTTCCTTATCATCATCTCAGTGAAAAATGTGGATTCATAGGCTAATTCATAACCTACTGATCCGAGTCTTTACAGATGAGGCCTAGGAATATGCATTTTAAACAATCCCCCAACTGGCATATAGTTGCATTTCAATAACAATGGTGTGTAACGAATCATGGAACATTATTCCCTCGTATAGTGCCTGATAAGTTCTGGCACTCACTACGTAGTGGTCCTTTCCTTTCCTACACTTTACTATCAAGCAGTCTGAGGCTCAGAGGGGAGAAGTCTTTCTAAAGGATGCAGAGAAAGAGGCATCTGAATCAGTTTCTGCCCCCTGGTCCAGACTTTCCATACGACCTGGCACTGAAACAAACTCTCTGCTCAAAAGGACAGTCTGCCTCAGGCCACCCAGGGAGTGAGCATCTCATGTTCAGTGTCCTTTTCAAGAACTGAAGTGGGAAGCAACTCCATGGCATCTCAGATCCTTTTCCATTCTGGTTTGGTTTAACCTTTTATTACAGGCAGGGAAATCGAAAGTGCAGATGTTCAGTACTCTCTTAGGGTTATCTTTCAAATCTAAAGCAGGAGGTTAGAAATAATTCCCTGGCCAAACATTTGGATATTTCTCTTGACTCTTGTATCCTTTATATTAGTTGTGTAGACCTAACATATTTTACATTCAATTGTGACACCTGACTTTCCTCTTGAATATGATCTGTCACTGTCAGGGCTCCGAGTCCTGGCATCTGCTGTATGCAAGAAGAGACTGTCATTTTCAATAGCTGAGATATAAGTGTTCTATGCTGGACTTTGAAGGGATATTAAAATCCAATCATTTTTATGATGGACAAAGGAGAACTATTTTTCTGCAATCTGTACAACTATGGCAGTTTTCAACAAGCACTAGAAGAACTGCAATCTTGTAATAATCTTTTATTGACTGTTAAGAATAAGCTCTTACCTAGCACTTATTTGTGTTTAGGTAGGAGCTAACTAAATCCTCATATAACTTCTGGTGGCAGGTAACATCATTTCCATTTCACATTTGAGGCACAGACAGTTCTAGTAATCTGCCCAAAACCTTACAGCTGATAAGTCACTGCCAGTACTTCAACCCTGCAGTCTGGGTCCAGAGTCTGTGTTCTTAGCCACCATGTTTTAATGGGGAAGATAGAATCAGTGGTCAGGCAGTTTTCTTTCCCTCATTTTACCAAATGGTATTGATGATTCTGGAAAGTCTGGAATTCTGTAATCATCTAGCCTTTCCCTCTAGAATGATCAGCAGTTACTAACTAATCATTCCTTTTTGATATTGTAACATTTTTGCGATAGCTATTGAGTTAAATAGTCGTTATTAACTGGATCATCTTCTCAGTGATATATACATTTGGAAAGGCAGGAAGCAGGTTTTATGGGAGGCAATTGTTTAAAGACTATGAGCACACAGCTTATGGGCAAAGAGGCCTCTTTGAGGAAATAATGGAAGTATTTGTCCTCTGGCTTAAGAAGACAAAGAAAACACAGTACCTATACAATTGTCGTTTGAAATTTTCTAATCTAAGCAAAATCTATGGGCTCTCCTGTGAACAGACTTTGAGAAATATACTTTGCACAGAGGAAAGGAAGAGCCTGCATCTCAGGTTTGGTGAGTGTTGAAAATTGTCATTAGAGCCCGCTCTCTTTCTGTACTGCTTTCTGGTTGTTGATCCAGAGATCATTTTTTTAGCTTCCTTTTATAAAGTGATTTGCACATTAACAGTTGCTCAATAAATGGTTGCTAACCAGGTGTAAGTAATGAGGTGAAACCTAACCAGGCCAGATATAGTAAAAGGAAAGCAGAATGAAAAATAAAATTTAAAAGTAGAAAAATAATGATTAAAGCACGAGAGAGCAAATATGATAAGTTAATATGGCTGGGAGCCTAAGAAGGGTACGTTCCAGAAGGTTTGCTCAGGGGCTGCTCCAGGGAGCAGTATCATTGAGGAAGGGAGGGTGAGGCATCTGACATCCAGGTTCAGATCAGAAGGTCTTGCTTTCTAGGTGTCAGGTCTAAAAGGGTCCTTGTCATCTGAACTGAGCCACGATGCTTTCTGCCTGCTCTGCCTGCTCATTTCCAAAGCCTTACCTTGCTGCAATCTCTGCAGGTCCCTCTGGAGCTGTCTTTGTTCCTTGGTCAGCAGCTTCACGTGGTACAGGCAGACCACCTCCAACCTCTGCAGTTTTTGGCTGAGTCTAGCCTCAGCCTGCTTGGCGTTCTTCCTCTCCAAGTCAAAGTGCTTGTATACTGGCCCCCTGACCATGTGTCTGTCTAAGCGGTTCATGGTCTAGAGACAAGAAAACAAGATTCTCCCATTACTACCCTGGAAAGCAGGAGTCATCTCTGACCCCTGACTTTCCATCAGAGAGCAGTGTCTGAAGCCTATGTCATTCTGAAACCATAGCTGCCAAGTCAGACTTCATCTGCCAACCACCATTGGCAGTTTTGCTCTATGATCAAATGAGTTCTTGAGTGACATAAAGGATGGAAGATAGTCTTTGCTCTGAGCATCAATATCTTTGCCAATAAAATACCTACACAGTCACCAATTGGATTGCTCCAAAGTGGGGGGCGGGAGGGGAGGGATTGGGGTCAGAATGGGGGGTTTGCAATTGTATGGGGGAATATAAAAATAAAATTTATTATTTAAATAAAAAAAAGCATAAAAATAACTCTTTGTGAGAAAAAAATAGAAATACTTTACATATATAAAGCATTATTCACCCAATAAGAGAAATCCATTCTATACCACTCAGTGACTCTTCAGTTTATTCATCCCACACACGGGTTCAGTGGCCAGGAGCCTCCCGTGTGCCAGGCGCCATGGTAAGAGCTGGACATAAGCCCTGCTCCCTCTTTACTCATCTTCCTAGCCCTTGGGTCCTTTCTATGTTTCTCTAGCCAAAAACCAAGCCCATACCACCTTCTTCCTTCTTCCAGCTCCATTGCCCCAACTGGCAGGGACATATCTTTCCTTTCCTTTGCGCCCTTTGCAATACTTACCTCAGAGCTAAGTGCCCACTTGTGCCCAGGATGAAAATGAATTTCTACCATTAGGCTTTGGTGACAATACTCCAGGAGAAGCTTAGTGTTAAAGGGGAGCATAAGTTCAGGACACAGAAAAGAGTTAAATTTCAAGAAATCTTGCCTTACAGTCTGAAATGTAGCCTGACCTTTTATTAAAGAATAAGGTGAGTAGCACTTACCTACAAATCAGCCTTCTCTCCAGGAGAATGCTGCTTGTTTCTTTTGTGATGGCAGGCTGAGTCTGGATGAATGAACTTATTTATTTTTCTTCAGTAAACTTCAGTGTTTGGTGTTAGGGAGTGGGGAGAGAGAAGGACCTTTTGAGAGAACTATGGGGAAGAATGTTAAGTACCCTTGAAAGCCCTCTCTCCCAGGCCTTCCCCCGGGCAGGAATGTTCACTCCTTGGGCATGGGCACCAATCCCTTGCAGAGAGACTAGGGCTCTAAATAGCTGTTAGAGTTAGGGAAGCCTGCCAGCTCCCAGCCCTCCCTTGTGGGGCCCACAGTGCTCCTTCTGAGCTGTGTCCATGGGAGCCAGGAATGAAAGAAGGAGTGTGACTGTGTTCTCAATCTCTCCCCCTCTCTCTGTACCCTCCTCTTTTGCCATACCCCCTCTGGCCCCTTTCATGGCCATTCCCTCTTGGAAACCAGGTCAGAAAGTCACCCAGTCTTTTTGTCAGATTATGCACATTTTGTGCAGGTGAGTAGCTAACTTGTTTATTTTGCATTATTGCACACCATATTGACTTTTCCCAGGCTTCCGTCCATGTTTCTTGTACTTATTAACATTTTCAAAGTTGTGACAACAGCGTTAGGCAAAGTGAAATTTAAATCAACATTTGTGATCGTATCTTGGACAGCTGCAGTAGAAAGCTGAAGTGAAATATTAGTTATAGAACAAGATATTAAGAAGGATTTATCCTATTGACTTAGGGTTTCATCTGAAAACAAGAGGCATTAATATGCCACAGTCTAAAGAGATCTGTCAATAGGGGGCCCTATTAATCCCCCAGAGCTGACTGAGAGGCAGCTAAATGGAGCCTATTACTCATAATCATCACCTAGCAAACAGCCTATTATAAGGAAATCACTGGGGAGAAGAAGCACCATCATTCTCTCAGTGGGAACTAATCCCTTTCCCACCCTTCCCATGAAGTAATTTTCTTATTTACAAAATTTAAATGAATAGGTGTGGCTCCCAGAAAATCATCATAGAGAATGAGAAACAAGGAAACTGGTCTCCCCTGCCCCAGCTAGAGGCCCCGCTACAGAACAGGCCCCGCTCAACGATTTTTTGGCAGCAGAGCTGATGGTCAAAGGGAATTTTTGTTTTAGAAAAGCTTGGTTCCTGCATGTCACCTTGAGAGAGAACTTGAGAGGGGAGGTTTGCAGAAGTAATCCAAGGCTGAAGGGCAAGAATGAGTCTTAATGTAGCATCCTAGAGAGAGGTGGTCAAACTTATCCTAGTTCCCATTGAGGGTTACCCAGTGGACCTTGTTCTTTGCGAAGGTGAGTCTCAGGACAAGCAGATGCTTCTAAGGTCACAATAAAATAAGAAAAACCTGGGGTAAATAGAGAAGGCTCCAGAGATCAGGGCAACAAATTCCAAGGGGAATTAATCAAACACCCCCAGAATTAGGGGCAGCAGGACATTCCTGGACAGGAGGAATAAAAAAAAAAAGATATAATTCTGAGCACAGACACATTAAGACAGAGTGAGTGAGACCACCAAGAACTAACCAATCACAAAGAGACTAATGGGGCTTTAGAATAATTAGGAAAAGACGAAATATATTGCCTGAGGTTCCATGAGCCTGGAAGTCACACTTTGTTTCTGTTCCTTTTCTCCTTCATAAACTTTTACTTTATATCTATTTCTCTAAATAAATTTGCCTCTTTTCTCTTGCTTATCTGGGCATCAGTGAAGTTCTTGCTGCAGCTTCATTAGACACAAGTCTATGGTGGTCTAGTGGCTAGGACTCTGGGCCTGAGATCCAATCCTGGATAGGGAATTAGACCTGAAACAAAGGAGTATAGGGCTTATTTAGTAGCAGAAGCCACACCACTGCCCTTGGAATATTTTAGCTCAAATAAGATGATACCTCTCCCAATGTAGGCATAGAACAGACATCACAGGAACATAGGGGCTCAACTGAAGGTGAACTATCTCATGACAACCACACATTTAATAGTAGAGGATGACAGGGACACATGGAACAAAATTAGTCAGAAAAAGACCAGTATTACCAGTATTACCTCTGCAACTATCCCTTTTACTGCATTTCTACCCCGAAAACTCACAGAGATTGAGTATTAGAAAGAAAAGGGAGGGGAGATATAGAAACTGAACTATGTTCCTCTCTCCACCCCCAATGACTGGAGAGGGAAGATTAATAGGCTGAGAGATGATCCTCCTTCTGCATCTCCAATTCCTGAGACTCCAGTGAGGAAAGGTTTTTTTTTTTTTTTTAACAGAAAGGGTGTTTCCTTTTTTTTTTTTTTTTAAAGATTTATTTATTTATACAAGCACTGAGTACAGTCAGAAGCACGGGAGGGTGAGAGAATTCACCAGAGCCAGAGCGGGGAGCAGAGCAGGCAGAAGGACCGAAGTACACTGCTGAGGGGAGCAGCGGGTGGCAGGATTGGTCTGGCACCATGTGGGACCCTCCTCTGGTGGCCGGGGAGCAGCCGGGGATCGAACCGGCGCTGCAGAGGCTGTGGGCAGCTTCGCAACCCAGCGCTTAACCGCTGCACCACTGGGGAGGCCTGAGGAAAGGCTTTAAATTTCATAAGATTGAAACTTCAAAGAGGGATGAATTTTTTTATAACTATAGTGGCAGAAATAAAATCTGCCCATGATATCATTAGGACACAAGAAAGAAAAATCAACAAAAGAGAGCTTAGAAATATAAAATGCAGTCATCCCAGATCATGTCCCTGCTATCACCACCAGAGAATAAAGTTTAGACTTCTGAGGAAAATAATTATGATGAAAATGAATTTTATAGGATGGATTTCATTTTTTCACATGCATGTATTTTTCTCTCTTTTTGTTGTATGTGAGGGAAGCATCCTTTTATTGTCAAATAATCTGAGCTGAAGTAACTATTTTGTACCTTAATAAGAAGTATGAAAATTCATACTAGATTAATTCCATCATGTCTTTCAGTTTCTGCATCTGCAAAATGGATTAATAATTCCTTTATCATAGGATTTCGGATAGAATTGAATAATAGAGTGAATGTAAAGTATTTGGTGCATAGTAGATGTTCAATAAAAGTTAATTCCTGTTTCCAACATAGATTGTGTAATAGGAAGTAGAATTACTGAATTACTTTTCTATATGCAATAGTTTAAAAAGCAGACAAAATTTATGGAAGAGATTTTTTTTTGACATTGGACCTCAGGAATTTAAGATGTCCCTGACAGAATAGAAACAACTCAAAGAGTCCCCATAACTGTCACAGCTTGTTGCATGGAAAGAGTTTCAAGATGTTATCACAGGGATAGGGCAGCATGGCAGTAGATTTCCTCAGTTGAGGAGACAGAGCTATAATTCCAGAAAGAGCAAGGTAGCTAGCATTAGCAGGTTAGAGTACCAGATCCAAGAATCTCACTGAATTCCAAGCAAAAAGAACAGCAAAAACCTGAATAAAAACTATGTCATGGTGGATAAAATTGAATTGCTAAATAAAGTAATGAAAAGATAATCTGAAAAACAACCAGAAGAATAAAAGACACATTACTTACAGAGGGCCACAGTTAAGAATTACAGCAGCCTTCCTGTCAGATACAACACAAGTTTGAAGACAGTAGAGCTATATTTTTAAAGTTCTCAAAGGAAAAAAATAACCTACAATTCTATACTCACAAAAATATACTTCAAACCAAAGGCAAACTGAAGACTTTCTTAGTCATCTAGAATTTTCAATAGTTCTTCATCCACAGATGTATACTTTAAGAAATGTTAAGGTAATTCTTTATGTACAAGGAAAATTATACCAGATGAAAATCCAAATCTACATAAAAGAATCAAGAGCACAGTAATTACAGGGCTAAGTATAAAGACATCTCTTAATTAAATCTCTTTAAAATGTAACTGATGGCTTAAAAGAAAAAAATAACAGCAATGTGTTGTAGAATTATAGCCAATACATGAGTAGAATGCATGACAGTAATACATATAAAATAAATTTAATTTGGAGTTTAAAAATCTTCCTACATGTTGGAAGAATTAACATTATTAAAATGGCCATCCTACCAAAAGCAATTTACAGATTCAATGCTATTCCAATAAAAATTTCAATGACATTCTTCAAAGAAATAGAACAATTATTGATGAAATTCATATGGAATCACCAAAACCCCCCAATAGCCAAAGCTCTCCTAAAAAAAAAAAAAAAAAGGGAATGAAGGCATCACACTCCCAGATTTCAAACTATACTACAAAGCCATAATAATCAAAACTGCATGGTATTGGAACAAGAACAGACACACAGACCAATAGAACCAAATAGAAAATCCAGAAATAAACCCACAGATTTATGGTCAACTAATCTTTGACAAAGAACCAAAGAATATGCACTGGAGCAAAGAAAGTTTTTTCAATAAATGGTGCTGAGAAAACTGGGTCGCTACATGCAAAAGAATGAAGCTTGACTACTATCTCACAAAAACCATGCACAAAAACCAACTGAAAATGGATTAAAGAACTAGACATAAGACCTAAAACCATAAAATTAGACATAAGACCTAAAACCAAAAAATAGAAGGAAATATAGGCGAAACATTACATGACATGCACCTCTAAGACATCTCTACAGACACATCACCCAAAGCAGTGATAGTGAAGGCAAAGATAAACAGCTGGGACTACATCAAATTAAAGGGCTTCTGCACAGCAAAAGAGACAGTAACCAAAACAAAGAGAAAACACACCGACTGGGAGAAAATTTTTGCACACAACACTAATGATAAAGGACTGATCACAAAAATCTACAAAGAGCTGATGAGACTCAAAAAAAAAAACAAAACACCCAAAGATAAACACATGCAATTTGCAGCAACATGGATAGAGCTGGAAGGGATCATGCTCAGCGAAATAAGCCGGAAAGAAAAAGAAAAATACCGATGGTCTCACTCGTAGCAGGAATCTAGAAAACTTAAATAAGGGACCAGGAAAAAGAATAACTATAAGAAAGAAAACATCAAAATCAACAAACAACTATGAACCAGAGACACTCTATGGGGGTTGGGGGGTGGGGAAAGGAGGGCTTGGGATAAAAATAAGGGGGTTGTAATTGTATGGGGAATATAAAAAA